GAATATTGATGCGGAGGCGAGGCTGCTTTCGTAGAGGAGCAGAAGGAAGCAAGATGGCTGCCCTGTAGGATTTGTTAGAAAGGAGACCCGGCTGCGACGGCGGCGGACTGCGAGGCTGAGGGACCAGAACCAGGTCAGAGCGCTGCTGCCCGCGCCTGTCTCTCTCTCGCTCTCTTTCTCTCCCCGCTCTTTTCGGCAGCAGAACTGTCCCTTTCCAAGCCCCCTCGCTCTCTCTCGGCCTTGCGGGGACTGTCATGTCACCCACAAATACCAAGAGGAAAGGGGGAAGCCTCACAAATTACTGGAGCTTCTTCAACATGGCTGACAAATATAGTTTTAATTTAGCAACCCACCCCCCTCCTGCAACCTGCACTCCTGGGGTCCCTTCTTCCTACTAATGCGTGTCCCCCTCCTTACCCAGAAAACTTACCTTTGTACCTCCCGCCAGCCGCTCTCCCGGCCTTTGAGTCTCAGCAAAGTGAGTGTTTTCTTGGGGCTGCCTTTCTGAAAGAGCTCATCTTTGGGGGTCACCACTTTTCTTTTGGATCCTCCTCCCCCCTGTCCTTAGTGTAAGTCATTCGAGTCCCTCGTTTATCCTCAGACAACCCGGAAAGAACACCGACCCGGTGTTTTTGACTCTTTTATCTCCAGTAGTATTTGTTTGGGTCCCGTTCTGGGTCTGTGTCTCCGGCTTCCAGCACGTTTGTCCCCCCGTGGACGACTACATTAGACAAATGTCACAGTGAGTGGATTCGGGATCCACTACGTGGAGTTTTTCTTCTTCTTCTTCTTTCTTTCTTTCTTTCTTTTTTTTTTTTTCCTCTTGAGTCCGCGCGTTTTGTTAGTGGCGCTGAGTGAGAGAGGAAAGAACAGTTTCTCTGCGCCCCCAAACAAGACCAGAACCCGCTTTTCTCAAGGTTCACAAGCTCTGCGTGGGCTGTACCTTCCAGTTTAGGAAATGTGTGTTAGAGAATCTGGGCAAATCTGTGTGTTGGCTTTGTGCTGCCCCCGAATCAGCTTCGTTCTGATCCCCGGTAAGTGACAGGCACACACAAAGGCAGGCGCAGGCCGAGGGAGGGGGCGGGAGAAGCGTTCCGAGACTGCAAGGTCAGGGGCGCCCAGAGAAATGAAATCCAATCCCGGCAAAGATCTCTTACAGTCCCATCCCAAATTTCCCTAACTCTGGCATTCACTCTGTGTTTTTGGTCTTTCATGATCTTCCCTCCCTATACTCCTCACTCACATCTTGACTCTCCACCAGAACTGCTTGCTTACTGTTAGAAAGCTGATAGGGTTTCTATGGAGAGTTTTCTACATATGGCCAAACCAAGTGTGGCCTGGACAGACTCCTGGGAAGGTCGAGTTAAAAAGACCTGTTACTTGATGGTTAATGCCTTCATGATAGACTTTTGAGGGCTTTGAGAGATTTTTCTTTCTCCCGATTAATGATTTGGAATAGAAATAGGTTATTTTTTTCTATTGTTTTGTTTTGTTTTTCCCAAGTTGTTTGCTTAAAATTTAGGGAGATGTTTTAGTGTTTGCCTATCTGGGAAGCAGAATACATCCATGGACTTAAACAAAAACAAACTCACAAGTCACACAGTACTTTTGCTCTAATGAAGGATTATAATGACAAAATCTATACTCAAAGATACTCATAAGGATAAGATTGCATGTTAGGGGAAGTTGGGATTCATGGGGAAAATATATAGGTTTGGTTTAAGACTGTGGGTATTGTTGCCTGACTGATGAAATCATTACATTTGCATTTTAATGGAAAGTTGAAATACTGAGGGGAAGTTAAGTTCTTCTCCATGTTTCTGAGTGTTTTGTAATGCATTTTGAATACAGTATACATTACAACATAAATATTAATCTTAAAAAACGTTATTAAGCAGTACAGTGTTTGTGAGGGATTGGGGGTTAAGCTTGAGATCAGGAGAGATTGATTTGATTACAGGGAGAGGGAGAGGCACATAGCTGCACCAATCAGGTCTCCAAACCTACTCACCCTCAGTAATTCACTTCATAAGTTTTTCTGTTTTGGTTTTCAGAAACATGGCTAAGCTCACTTTAAGCTTGGTCCTAGGGGCTCATCCACATGACCAGAAAGTAGAAACATTACTCATCCTTGAACAGAAACAGTTCATTGATTCTGATTTGCCCTAAAGTAATAGTGAAATCCCAGTTTTCTTTTCCCCATTAATGCTTATTGTATGGTCAGTTATACCAACAATCCAGAGTTTAAAAAGAGTAACTTTAGGCCAGCTGGTGGTGGTGCTCACCTTTAGTCTCAGCACTCAGAGGCAGAGGAAGAGGCAGAGGCAGGTGATTTCTGTGATTTCAAGAGTGAGTTCCAGAACAGCCTCCAAAGCTACAAGAGAAAATCCTGTCTCAATAAATAAGTAAATAAATAAATAAATAAATAAATTGTTTGACTAGTAGACTAGTGTGTGGTGATTTCTTTGGGAACAGGTTTTCAGATTTGTGATCTTTTATGTCTTCAAACTACTCAAGAGTGTTTTCCATTCTAATCAATAAAAGTACTTAAATTGGTGTGTTTTTATTTTTTATGTTATCATAGAGGCCTGCTCTTTCCTGTCATGAAATTTAGAATTTTGTTATTTTGTGCATCTTAGTTTTATGTTGAAAACAGTGGCTAATTGTGACTATTCTTAAGGGTTTTGGTGAAAATTTGTGTATTATTGAACACTCTAAGTAAATAACACTTTTTCATTTTTTTAAGCAACAACCTTTTTTTTTTTTGTACAACAACCTTTCTTTAACTGTATGTGTGGAAGTACCATCTAGGTATTCTAAAAGTTCTAAGAGCTAGCTGTCTTAGTTGATTTTACTTTAGAAAAAAATATTAAGCAATAACAAGATTGGTAGTTTCTAAAAAAAATCCATTGTTTTGTCTATTTGCATATTGAACTAATGAAAGATTAACTTGGAATGAGACTTTGCTTTGTTTAAATTCACTTATTTGTCAAATATTTTTAAGGCTTTCAGCAGATTTACTGTTTATTGGCCAGGAGCCAGGGCGATGGCATGGTTTCCATGTGGCTACATATGGTTCTGCATACTGGCATCACCATCATTCCCAGGGAAGTGTGTACACCTGCTTTGGGCTTGTTATGATGACTTCCCCAGTCCTTATTGGCTGCTATATCTGTGCTTCATTTTGTTTTCACTTGTTGAAACTAGAAATTCCCTATCAGTTGCTCTAAGCTCCACCCAGATCCTGTTGTAAGCCAAGGGCCATGGTTTCCTTGTTTGCTAGCCTCACTTGGAAACCCTTTTTATGAATCACAAACACATCTAAAAGATAGTCTATTTTCCATCATTACCTAAGCAAATTAGTCAACTTTTATGAAATAATCATCAAATAAAGTGTCTTAGCAAAATGTTTAAGCTGGTTATGGTGTGCCAAGTCTGTAATCTTAGCACTTGGCAGGCTGAGGCAGGAAGATGGCTAAAAATTTTGAACCAACTTGCATCCACCTAAAAGAAAAAGTAGTAAATGATATATGATATGAAATGTCAGTAATTTAGGATACCTGGAAATTTATATTAGATATGATATTTATGCTACAATTGCTTCTAACTTTTCAATTGTTATTTTTAGCAATTGCTGCTTTTTGTATATGAATGTTTTCTTGCATGTATGTATATGCACTGTGTGCATGCTTGGTGCCTTTGGAGGCCAGATGAGGATATTGAATCCCTGGATCTGGGGTTAGCTAGTTGTGAGCTGCCATGTGGGTGCTGTTTAGAGCTGCCAAGAGCAGTGAATGTTCTTAACGATGAGCCATCTCTCCATCCCCACATTTCACAATCTTATATAGCTTATTGGTAGAAGACACAATATAATTGTTTCTTGAATGGGACAGTGTTGATTCATTAAAATCGTACTTCCTCAAGGATTATGCCACCATTGAATAGTAATTCCTGGGGGCAGCAGCAGTACCAAAATCAGCAGCAGGAAATGTCTCCTAAGCCAGCTTTACAGTTGGAGCCTTAGCTGTGGGAGCGTCCAGTTGCCAAGCAGAGCTGGTGGTTATCCTGGAAACTGTGCTAAAGAACACAACCACAGTGATTTTTGCCAAACACACAGTATTTACATGGGTCTAGTGCTCTGGTTTCTATTACAGTTTACTGCCAAAACTCAGTGAATACTGTGACATTATTGAATGAGGTTCGGTATACCGTGCATCTGTTGGTGTATGTAGGGCTGTAGCAGGGAAGGAGTGCAGTCAGAGCGTATGTATCACAATGACCACAAGCAGGAAGAAATGGATGCACTTTACACTTGCCCGTTTCCAACAGAATTTTAACTATGGAATGGACAATGCAGAAAACTCCAGGCTTAAGACAGGTATATCATCTTTCTCAATAAAATTGACTTTGAGTTTCCATTTGCAGTGTAGCAAATTCTGACTTTTGACTTTCCCTATTTGTTATAAAAGGTATTAGGGGGCTGGACAGCAGTTAAGAACACTTGGCCCAGCTGGGCGGTGGTGACACATGCTTTTATGCCCAACACTCAGGAGGCAGAGACAGAAGGATCTCTGAGTTCAAGGCCAGCCTGGTCTACACAGCAGGTTCCAGGACAGGTTACAAAGTTACAAAGAAACCCTGCCTCAGAAAACAAAACAAAACAAAAGAACACTTTGCTAAATCATGAGGACTGGAGTTTGAATCCTAGCACCTAATTGGGTGGCTTACAAATACCTTTTATTACAGATCCAAGGATCCCAACACCCTATTTCAACCTCTGCAGACACCTGAACACACACAGGCAAATTTTAGGCTGGACATGGTGGTGTACACCTTTATTTTTTTGTTTTTGTTTTTTTTAAATGTGTATTTCTCTGTTTATATTACACTATCTTCCTGCAGTGCCAGAAGAGGGCATCATAAAATACCTTGAAACTGGAGTTACAGAAGATCATTAATCCACCAAGTGAATACTGGGAACTGATCTCAGGTCCTGGAAGAGCAGTCAGTGCTCTTAACTTCTGGGCCCTCTCTTCTTCTCTGGTTTGAGAAAGGTCTTGCTATAGAGTCCTGGATGGCATGGTACTTACTATGCAATCCCAGGCTGGCCCCAGACTTGCTACAGTCCTCTTGACTCTGTCTTCTCATTGCCTTAGCATGCCTATCTAAGAAACTCAATGCTTTAAGCTCACCAAAGACAGTTGTTCAAAACTGATGTGAAGTCATATTCTGAATAGTCTCAGAATTAAAATCAGAGATGAATAACTGGGATGAAGTATTTTGGAGGATAATTTAGAGCATAAAATAAATTTGTTGTACCAAAAATACTGCAAATGTTTCCTTTAAATTAGATTTCTTTCTGTCTGTTGAAAACTTGCTGATCTCTATATGTTTCATTCACTAGCCGAATCTAGTAAAAACTTTTTTTTTTTTTAAATCTAGAACGTGTGTCTTCTGTACTCAAAGCATAGTAGGAAAATAATGTGTAATTTCTACAGGAAATTGTAATGGCTCCTATTAAAGTCACCCATCTTCAGCATGGGATTTAGTGGCTTTTAATACATTTATGCTGTAATTACGTATTTTAATTGAAACTTTTATTCAAATAGTTGTAGAGGCTATGCAACTTTAAGAATCGTTTTACTGACAGTAGATTGTTGTAATTCTTAGTTATTCACTACTTTTTTGTTTTGTTTTGTTTTTCAAGACAGGGTTTCTCTGTATTGCTTTGGAGCCTGTTCTGGAACTTGCTTTGTCTGTAGACCAGGCTGGCTGGCCTTGAACTCAAAGAGATCTGCCTGCCTCTGCCTCCAGAGTGCTGGGATTAAAGGCATGAGCCACCAATGCCCATCTATTTACTACTTTTTAGTACTCCATTTTTACTTTTATGAACTTCCGAAAATTTATTGTTCTCCCATGCAAAGTTGGAATATTTTGATTTGTTGTTTTTGCCTTACTTTGTAGCCCAGGCTGATCTAAAACTTGATGTAGCTCAAGATGGCCCTGGGATTCCTCTCTCTTCTTCCCCCTTGGAACCGTGTCTTCTTATGCCTGTTTTGAAATAAAATATTTCCTGCTTCAGCTCCCCAAGTACTAATGTACCATCATGCCCTATTACTAATGTACCATCATGCCCTATTACTAATGTACCATTATGCCCTATTTGGCCCTGAACGCTTGAGCCTCCTGCCTCAGCCTTCTGACTGTCAGATT